TTCTTGTATTTGATTATTGTTTAGTTACTTTTATGGCAGTGGATATATTCTTCCATAAGTACTGCAATTTAATATCTTCTGAAAAATGCCTGTCCTATACTTGTGTAGGATATTGCATTGGCTGAACTGGCACCTACTCATCCCTTAAGGCTTGGACTTGCACTTAACTTCTCAGTGTTCTATTATGAGATTCTGAACTCTCCGGACAAAGCTTGCAACCTTGCTAAGCAGGTAGGTATCGCATTTGTCTTTCTATTTGCTGTACCCGGTTTGAGTTGTAACTAGCTTCTGTGTTGCTTGTTTGAATCTGGGCTGAAAGAAGAGGTGCAAAATAGTATATGAATTATTTTTGTAAACTCAAGCACAGCGATTTTACATTTTCACTGTAGATATGGTTAGATCCTTCTGTTGCTTGTTCATCAGAACAACTGGATGACTCTGCTAGTCCTATGTGATTACTCATGTGGGCTTTAGATTCAGGTGGATTGCAGATTTCTTTTGTTTCAGTTTCACTGTTATACATCTTATCTCTTGTGGCATAATTGCATTGTTGGGTATAATGTGCCGCTCTTCATGCTTTGGGGTGATGAGCATTTGGCACTTTTTGCCACACAAACCAATTATGTAGCAGCAGAAAACCTTGCAAGCAGCGGCAGTAGTAATTCATCATCATACCTTTCTTATTAGTATTATTGTTGTGTTGTTACACCTACAAGAATTGCATGGTATTTGTTGCTGATTGAGAAGACTGATCATATTCTAGATAACACGAGTGCATAATGTGTACAATCTGTGTAGCTGCTTTGTTGGGCGCATGTGGGTTTTATTTCTGATCAACTATTCTTTGCAGGCATTTGATGAGGCTATTTCTGAGTTGGACACGCTTGGCGAGGAATCCTACAAAGATAGCACCTTGATTATGCAGCTCCTGAGGGACAACTTGACCCTCTGGACCTCTGACATCACGGTATCTCCTCAGCAGCTGAACTTTGCCTGTCTGTATGACATTATCCATACTCACGAATCTGATGCAATATCATGCAATTTTCTCTGTGGCAGGAGGAGGGCATTGAGGAGGGCAAAGAAGCCTCGAAGGGTGATGCTGAGTAGCCTGGTAAACCTAGATGGACGCCCTGTGCTGATAGAAGGCATTTGCTGCTCCATGCATTCCAAGATTCTGTCTTCTCGTTCCCTCCCTCTTCATGTTGTAGGCTGGTGGTAGTAGTCAAATTAGTCTCATTACTTTAGTTGGCCCTGGGTCCATTTGGACTGATGTATTGTTACTGCTGTTGAAGTCATCCGTTCTCGTTTTGCTCTTGCAGTGAATTCCCCGTTCGCTTGGTTTACACAGCCTTTGCATATTGCCTGATTGCATTGCACCCCTGCTTCAATATCGTACGACGTACGTTACGTCGACTTACGAAAGCAGCAGGCAACACTAATCTACAGTCAAGCTTAAGAGAGCCACACAAGTACTAGGGAGTATGTACATGCACTGGACTTTTAGGAAATAGTTTAACCCTGTAATGTAGAGCATGTACATTATTGTGTCTGTGTCACCCTCGCATTTAGTATTTGTTTTTTTTTTAAAAACCATCATGTCTCCCTTCTGGGCCGAGCCAAACGGCCGAGACGACGTTGCTGTGAGCACTACATGTTACTGGGCTAAGCTATTGCTAATTGGCCCATCTTCCTGAGCAAAGTAGAGCGGAAAAAGTTGACATTACCTCCCTCAACTTTCGCGAAAATCCGTTTTTCCTCCATGAACTCTAAAACCGGGCAAAACACCCCCCTCAGCTTTTAAAACCGTTCATCTTACCTCCCTCCCTGGCTCTGTTATAAGCAGTTTTGAAAGCGATTTTGTTTTTTTTTTTTATTTATTTCGACTAAATCTTAAAAAAATCATAGTAAATCACAGAAAAATCATAAAATAGAAAGTCCAATTTTGTTGGACTCCACATGAGTAGATTTACACAGTGAACATATAATATGGTATGCTTTAGTACAAAGTTTTTCTATGGATTTAGATATATGTTTTTCTGTAATTAATTGAAATAATTTATAGCTGTAGTTTCTATGGTCCAATTATGATGAAAAATTTAAGGTGAGCTAATTATTGTATGATTGAATTGTAGTAAAAATTTCATACTCATTGGATCATGTATAACTTAGTAATAGATTTATTTATAGTAAAATCTATAACTAAGGTATACATGATCCAATGAGTATGAAATTTTTACTACAATTAACATATAATAATTAGTCCACCATAAAAATTTCTCCACAATTAGACCATAGAAATTTCAGCTATGAATTATTTTATTTAATTATAGAAAAGTATAGATCTAAAGCTACAGCAAAAACTTTGTACTAAAGCATACCATATTATATGTTCACTGTATAGATCTACCCATGTGGAGTCCAACGAAATTCGATTTTCTATTTTATGATTTTTCTATGATTTTACAATGATTTTTTAAAGATTCACTCGAAGTAAATAAAAACTCGGCGGGGAGATGGACTCTGAGGAAAACCGCCTCTTCCGTGGGCATTGCTTATCGCCATCAGCAGCATGATGGAGGTCGACGCCGATGGCCGCCACCCCCGTCCGCCCCGACGCCGACTTTTTCAACGCCTTCCCCGAGGACTTCGACGACCAAGACCTCGACTCTGATTTTGAAGTTTAGTGAGGTACCTTGAAAGTTGATTTTCACAAAAGTCGACTGTAGCACGTCTTTCGGTTTCTTTTCACTTACTTTAGCCCTGCCACACACACTTTGCCGTAGTAGATGGTACTTGGGTGTAGAGGAACTACAAACTGTCTTCCTCCTTCCTGTAGGTTCCACCCCATTTCCATCGTCAAGGGATCGAGATGAACAACTCCGCCTCGCCGGCGGTGGACTGGGGTGACGACTCGGCGGGGGAGATGGACTCTGAGGACGCAGCGCCTTCCTCCTCCGTGGGCATGGGCGTCGGCATCGCCATCAGCAGCATGATGGAGGTCGACGCCGACGGCTGCCACCCCCCGTCCGCCCCCGACGCAGACTTCTTCAACGCCTTCCCCGACGACTTCGACGACCAAGACCTCGACTGACTGCTGCCGCCGCCTCTGCTTTGCTCGCCCGGCCCCCTTCCACCAGGTTCCTTGGAATTGGATCTAGGGTAAGGATTCACGATCCGATGCACAGTACTGTAGCACGTCTTCTATTCGCAATCTAGCTTCACCGCATTACTTTAGCCGCACAAGTCAATTGTCCAGCACCTGAAGCTTTGCGCTAGTTGAATTGTATGTATGGTCAAATTGGGAACCTGCTCAGTTGCTAGTTCATTGTCTGGAGGAAGCGCCTAGCAGTACAGTATTTCCTTATTAGTACTACTTTGTGCAGACACTTATGCTGGCTACTGTAACAACTTACTTGACTGCGTGATTGCAAGTGTCTTCCCGATCCCTGCCTTCATAGCTGGGATTGATGATTTGCTCGATAGTGAACTATTCGTTTTTTGGGAATAAGCCTATGATTATGAACAAGCTATCTGTATTCATCTTCCATGCCATAATTTGGTATGGCGCTTTAACTTGCCTTCGGAACACTTGTATATGATGGATGAACACCAGCAATACTGTACGGTACAAGTGCGGTGACTCATGATCCAGGTCTCATCATCCATGGATTACTTTGTGCTTGTTTAAATCTAAGGGATGGGGATGGTTGCTCCAATGGGTATCTGCAGTTCTCCTCTAGTTCAACTCAAAGAACTAATCAGACAATTTATTACCTCATTTCAGTTTATATAATTCATTAAGTTGAACTATAGGAGATCCATGGATCGCTCCACCCTGTCCTTATTTCAATCCACTTGCTCTGGTTTTTCCATGAACACCTGTTGTATTGTATCAGCATTTACTTCCATTTACGTAACTAGGGCTGTTTTTGTGTCTTGTGAACACTGAATTATAACAATCGACATAGACGGTCGCTGAGGCATGTTCATTTTATCCATTCTCAGTTGGGGGTTGTATATGAACCTACCTACCAAGGAGGCAAGGAAGCACCAGGCATCCATCTCATTGTCCTCGTGTTGCAGCTCTAGTGGTGTTGTATTGTCAGCTGTGATCATGTAAGAACCTGACCTGGTACATTATGTACATAAGAAGAATAAAGAACCTGTTATTGTACATAAGAAGAATAAAGAACCTGATAACTTCTGTGGTATATAAGTTCATGGCAGAATGTTCTTGTTGGTTGGATGCTTTGCACGGTTGAGCAGTGTTGTAATGTGATGGTGGGATGAACTCGCGACTGCGTTGGTCGCATATGTAATGGTTTTGCTTTTTATTGGTGAATGGTGAAGACAGATCTGAATGTACTTACTGATCATGAGCGTTTTTTACATGCTCAGCTGCCCTTGCTTTCTCAGTTCCTCTAGTGTTCCTTACTAACTTGATGGAATGATATTGGAGTGAGTAGTTGATGTCGTGATGCCACGCAGATTTGTTTACCAGAAAGACCTAGCAGCCTTCAATCTGGGCTTTACCTCCCTCCTATCCTAGATCTCGTTTTTTATGTTGAAAATATATGGGGAAACAAATAGGACAAAATCTTTCTTTGCTTGTAATATACCTGAGATTTTACTGCAAAAAATAAGGAAATGATGAAATGCAACAATAACAGGCTGCTAGTACATCCAAAATGAACGATTGGGCTTCTTTTGCTGCTTAGCCTGGGGCAGTCACATCTGGCCCAATGGGCTACATAACGAATTAAAGTTTTCCTTGCTTGGCCCGCCCGTCGTCCTCCCTCTTCTACTCCTTGCATTGCATCCTCTGTTCTTCTCTTCTCCACTACGCAGTTCGGCTACCAAACGAAAACCCTAGCCGCCGCCGCCGCCGCCGCCGCTCTTCGTCGAGATGGGAGGCAAGTGCCCGCACCGCAAGGTCAAGAAGCGCCGCCTCTCGCACAAGACGGCTCGCCGCGGCAAGTTCCATCTCAAGGCCGACGATGCCGTCTAGGACGAGCTCGTCAATCTGGCCGACCAGGGCAAGGACGCTGAAGCCAAGGAGCTCCCCGTCGATGAGGACCTCCCAGGCATCGGACAGTTCTACTGCCTCCACTGCGAGTATGATGTCCCCCTCTCCTCTCCTTCCTGTCCCTTCCTTCCACGTTCTGCTATTTCGTATCCTCTGCTAGGTATGTGCCCGTACATTGCTACGGGCAAAAAATCCATGCCATATATATTTCTCAATGAACACATTCAAGCAACGCTTGTGTTTATCATGGTTCCTAATTGAGCATTGGTGGAGCATGTGCTATAATTCATTCGTGGTAAAAGAAAGAACAGCTAATCTAGACCAGATGGACTCTAGTGAATGATAAATCATGTTTATGTTTGCAAACTAATTTGAATTTCCATGTATGCATGATGTAAACCTTATCGTACTATCATGTAAAATGATCTTAAAATACTGAATGCTCATAGCACATATTCCAATCTCTTGCTATTTCATCATCCTCATGTGCCAACAATTATTATTTTTTTGTTTCCCTTCCTGGGCACAAAAGAAAATATGCAATGGGATTCAGCACTGGAATTAGGCAATTGGGAATTTTCATGCACCCATTCTAGGATCATCAATTTGGTTTACTTCGTCAAAGAATGGACGGGATAACTTTTATTTGTGATTTTCCTGTGGCACAAAATTGAATAAGTTTCGTATCTATGATGTAAACATCTACTATACCGGTATGTAGAAACTGAGAACTGTTCCTGCTGTACCGACTATAAAGCCGGCATATTTGAATCTGTAGAGCTTCTTGTTGATGGGGATGTCTGCAAGAGCCGACCATCTGATATTTACATTGAGGATGGACTGTGATTTCTTTCTTTGATATGCTTCACAATATCCAATTCTCTATTTGGGGGTAAACCCCCTCATAAATCTGCTAAACCCTCCTTGAAGTCTCTCTTTCACTCCTCTTTTCTCCCCCCTTATTTCTAAACTTTTCATACTGTTTCACCTTCCCTTAGTTATGTAAATCTAATAAATACCACAATAGTGGAAGCAACTACTGTATCTGTTCCCACAAAAAATAGAGCAACGAGAAATCAGATTCTTATCAATTTGTCCATCATTTATTCCCACTTGCTTCAAGGATGATAAACCCCTCCTTGACCACCAACTTGCTTCAATTTGAAGGATGATAACGCCAACTTGCTTCATTTTTGGACTTGCAATATGATATTTATCTCATGCCCATCCACTTATAGGTAAACCCCTCCTCGACCACCACTCAGCCAAAGCAGGTCATGTCCCCGCACTCGAACGCATCAGGCCTGCCGTGGCGTACCTTGGACATCCTGCTGCTCTGCCGCCGATGTCGTGGCTCACCTTGGCCAGGATGGCCAGATCTCATGGAGGTGTGGCCGTGCCTGTGTGGAGTCGCCATCGCTTGGTCATTGCCTCCTGGGAGATCCGGCCGCTGGTGGGGAACCAGTGAGGGCTGGCTACCTAATTGATTGGGCACTGGGCGGTGGCGTCCTTGTTGCTCCGGCGTGGGTGGCGCTTGGACCCTAACAGTAGTCACCTAGAATGAGGTGGGGGCAGAGGTGCAGATGGCAGTGCGAATGGCAGTCAGGTGGGGGAGGGGGCGTGGATGGGTGTGATGGGGTTTTTAATGGGATGCTGATCGCAGCCACAGGGGCTTCATCACGCCTGTGGTAGATGGGTCCGTTTCATTGTTTTTAGTGGTATATATATACAGAAAAAGATAGAAGAAGATCATACTAGCTGTTCCTGAACACTCTTGTATTGTCTTATCCAAACAGTAGGGCTATTTCAGTGAGCTAGGGTTGGTTCATTTGATGAATTAGTTGTATGTACGTGCACAATTTGTAAGCTGCTGCCAACTTTTGTGCTGATATTAATAAACTGTGTGTTTCAGCTGAGTTGTCCAGTTTAGAGTAAAATGGTGAACTTTGGGTGATGTTTAGATGGTTTGATGCTGCCTGGAATTTAACTGATAGTAGATGCCTTGAATTGATTTAGAGGGATTAGTAAAATGTGGCTACAATTTAAGGTGTGATTGCTGGCGTTACCATGCTTGTGATGAACTGCACTTATCTTGTAATTGTGCTATCTATAGTCTAATCTTCTACTGATAATCATATATATCTGGTATTGGCTTTGGCTGCAGTCGCTACTTTGCAAGTGAAAGCGTGAAGGATGACCACTACCGCTCAAAGCGCCACAAGAAAAGGTGATTCATTCTGTTTGCTCTAAGTAATATCGCTGTACTCATCATTCAGAGATAATGTTGAAGAAAATCTTCCCTGAACACATTTGATTTATGCTACCAATTGGCAAAACATGTGATGACCTGCACTTACTATGCTTGTTGCATGGTCATTCTCAATTTCAATTGAAGAAAAAAGAACCGGTTGGTTGATATTGCTAGGACCAATGAATTCAGATGGTTAGAATACTGTAATACAGCTCTCTGCAGTTGACCTGTTATCTAGAGTAGAACAGATGATAAAACTTGGAGGGACCTTATTGTGTGGTTTGATATGATACCATAGCTAAATTAGTGTTGGTCCTGTGATAGTAACTGAAGGTTGAAAGCAGATATACTACATTACCAGTATGATCTTTCCCGTTGGCGGAACATGTGAAAAATCTGATGTAGGACATGTTCTGGTACACGTGAGCATGATTCTGTCTGCTGTGGCTTGTGCTTTGTCTAATCACAAGCTTTGGATGATTGTAGGGTCAAGGCAATGTCTGGGCCAGCCCCACACACGCAACTTGATGCTGAACTTGCTGCTGGAATGGGAAAGCCTGACAATGGCCTGAAGCTTATGTCCATGTGAAGGAACCTCTTGTTAGTACTTGTTCCGTGTTTTTGTTGCTGTCGTACATCTGAAGCTGCTTTGCTCAGTAATAGCAGAGTTAGTAGATGGTTTTTATTGTGCACAAGACTTTTGAAGTGGGGCTTGATCAGGAGGGGAGTTGTTTTAGAGAGGTGTCATGGGTAAATGTCTGTATCATGAAATCATTTACCGACCCATACTAGTGATGATGATGTCTCGTATCATTTGGCCTCAGATTGTGCGTTATCTGCTAGGACTATGAAACACTAGAGTTGGTTTTACAGCCTGTCTGGTTCGATGAACACAAGTTACCAAATGTCACTGGTAGGGTTCGTGCTAGAGGCGGCCAGGACAGCAGCACTTGTCAGCTTCCATTCTTTGTGAAGATTTCCTAGATCTGTATGTATATTACATTATTACATGATTCTGCTTGTGCTCTCCGTGACTCTGGTTCTGGCTGCTGATGCTGATGGCAGGGCCTATAATTGTCTATTTTCCGTAGAGATGAGAGATTCCTTGTGCTGTTTTGTGCTCATTTCATTTTGGATCTATCATTCTGTACTGGGCAAACGCCATCCTTGTCTGTCAAGCTCTTCCAAGGATGTCCTCCAGCAGGACGGGACCATGCACAGCACGGCACGTCGGCACGAGTGAACACATCGTAGTAATGGATGGAAATGACTGAACACATGTACAGCTAGGTAGGTAGCCAAATCCCTCTGCTCTGCTCTGGAAAGAAGCAGCGTTGTGAGAAAAATACTAAAGAAAATATTGGCTGATAAGCTGGATGAAGCTGTTTTGTTGTGAAAAAAAAATACTGTAGTTTTAGCTGATAAGCCGGCTGATAAGTTCAAACAAACGGGCCCAATCCGTGACGGATCTTCCCGGCACGGTGTTCCTCGCTGAAAAGGGCTAGGCCGGTTCTAGAAACCGGATAAGTTGTGGACTCACTGTTGGCTACTGTGTTGCACAGCCCGTGCGATTTAGTACACAGTGATCCTTGCTGCGTCAATAAGATATACAGGCATGGTGTGCTATTTTACCTTTATTCGATTCAAAAGAAAGACTGGAGCAATAGGAATGTAAAATGACAATGAATCTACGTAAGAGACGGTAAGGGCAGGTATAATAGGTTGAGTGTGGCTAGCGTCCGGACGTCCATGTAACACGCCTCTATCCACTTTTGCCTCGCGCCATGAGTGCGCTCCATCCCTGTCTCTGCGCCTGTCTGTCCTTCTCCTGACCTCTCTCTCTCTCTCTCTCTCTCTCTCTTTCTTGTAGGCGACGCGTGCCCTCCCCTCTCTCTCTGACTCTCCGCGTGGGCGACGCGTGGGAGCCGGGATGAGTGGTTGAGGACGAGTGCCACCCTTACCTGTAGCACCCAGTCCGTCGCCCCCCAGCATCACCGTCCGCCGGTTCCTGGCTCGCAACATAAAACACTTGCAACATGAGTGCAACATAGAACTAGAAACAGATGAAACATTTGGAAACATGCTCTTGCAACACGTGTGTGAAGTGCATGAAACATAAAAAAACACTTGCAACTTGCAACATGAAACCACTATTACAACATAAGATTGAAACATCTGAAATCATTTGGAAAATACTGTTACAACATATGCAAGATCTAGATAAAAAACGATTGCAACATACGTGTGGAAACAGATGAAACATTTTGAATAAATGCTTGCAACATGGTTATGAAACACTTGCAACATATACAACATGTGCAACATCTCTCGATCTACTTTTGCAACTTCAAGATAAAACAATTGCAACATACATTTGAAACGCTGAAACACTTGAAACATTAATATGCAACATAGGGGAGGGGAATGCTGGGCAGGTCAATTCCGGTTGTCGGGGTCGGAGCCCGTGGCGAGCCACGGCGCGCGAGCACCACAAAGCACCGCCTGCGCTCTTGGGTGCCCTTGGCTCAGCCGAGGAAGACCTGAGGCGCCACGGCATATGCGCCCCAGCGGCCATAGCGGGGTCAGCGATGTGCGCGACGGCAATGGGAGACGGATGGACGGACGACGAGGGAGCGAGCGGCACAGGTGTCTAGGACGGGCGGGCGTTGTGGCTGGCGATGGGGCGCGGGGCGATGGTGCACGGCGCAGGAGCCGACAACCGCGCGGTGGGGGCAGGGCGCGGACGAATGAGCCACCACGTTGTTGCGTCGAGCGTCGGGATAAGGATGAGCGAGTGGGGGATTTGTTTTTTTTTCTGAGAACGATATCATTATCGATAAGTTTATAGTCGGGTAGCTTTTTAGCTACGTTAGAACAATCCTATAGAGGCAAAAAAGGAAAAAAAAACAGGTTTGCCAGCCAAATCCATACCCCCAGCCACCAAATCGCCTCAAATCTCAACCTCCCGAAGCCTTCATGCAAAAACTGTCGCCCTGGAACTAAAAGGTCATGTGCGCTTGCGCCTCTGGTGGTCTGTCCGACGGTGGCTCAGTCTGTTATGGAGATCTAGTTCTACCGTCGGCCTTCACCTTCCCTTCCCCATATGGATCCGGTGTTTGGTTCCCGAACGACCACCGCAACAGTCCATGGCGGTCTCTGCGCCATACGATTTCTATTTTGCTTGTTTGCTAATTCGCTAGCGGCTGTCTCAACTCTGAAGATTTTCAATTACTGACGTGATGGTGAATTGGTGTTTTTATTTTTGACCGATATGGTTGCCCAGTATTTCTTCATTGCTTTGATCGAAACTGAAATAAACTATTGTATGCTGAGATCATGGATGGCTGCGACCATTTATTTGTCAGAGACAATCCGTGTGTGCTAGCGTGCCCTAAAAGTAATTGCTTCAATTGTGTTTTTCTTGATTAATTTTCTGTACCCTCTGTTAAATGGTACGAATGGATATGTCCCCCAATGACAGGACTTAGATTTTATTTTATCCTTATTGAGGATTTGAATTTGAACCGCTTGTCTTACATCGTCTATTTCACCATCTACTATTGGTTGAGCAGGGGACTCGAATCTCACCCACACAGCGGATTGCTTAGTTTTGTAAAGAACACACATGTTGGTCTCATTATGTTGTTTGATGAAATAGGATGGACGAGCATATCTACTATCTGGTATAGCATGCTTGATCATGTTATCTAGTCTGATCATGTTATCTAATCTAATTATTATGAATTGTGTTGTGCGGTTAGATCGATGGCCACAAATATGTGTACAATAGCAAATGATATGCACACGTAAGCATTAAATATTAATTTTTAATGCAGCCAAACTATCAGCCAACCTATAATATGAGTTAGCTGTATATGACATGGAACTGGGATACATCCTTTAGCCGTCTAAAATTGTTAACCTTGCTCTAAAAGGGGAATAGGAAAGCAGTAAATCTGTGATCTTGTTTGATTGACCTGTAGTCCCTCAGTACCCTATCTTTTTTTTTAGAGTTTAAGGGTGGAGCACCGGCCATTGCATTAACAAGGACCATAAATGTGCTTACAGCACAGAAAGTCACCACTCAAGCATAAGGAAAATACTCCAGAATCACTAAGACCAACTCAGAACACCCACGTAGGGGGGTTAACAACCCAAAAAGCAACTCTACAACCGCCAAGCTTCATCCGCATCTTTGGATAGGAAAGGTTCCAGCTCTTTTGGGGTTCCTTCTTCCCAGCGATGTGCTCTCTGGAACATCGATCAGGCGATCAGCTTCATCTGGCACCAGATTTTTTTTTCTCAAACATGCCTCGGGCACGGTTTTCATTAAGCAGAATAAGATAGTTTACTCAAAATTACAAATAAACGCCATGATAATCCATCGATTACCGAAGCACAACGGCCCACAGGCAGCAAGCGAATTTAGCCACCAATCCTTGCTGGCCGTGTAGCCATCGACAGCAGCATATTTAGGCTTGTAGCAAAAGAATGTCTCTGCTCCATGGGACATAAGAGCGTCCACCCTTGAAGCATAGTAGCTATTCTCAACAGCAGGTAATTCATATCCCTCCATTTCAAAACCTGGGAACATAAATTGTTTCTTAGCTTCCAAAGCCCCCACAGGGGGGCAAAATATTACACACCAAGAATATTCTATTACTAATCCACAATTGGCCAATTGAAAAGAAATATATTCCTAAGTGTCTATCGAAAATCTCAGAAAGATGACTCCACATTTGTTTGGCAATAACACATCATTCAAAGAACAAGTGATTTACCGTTTCTGGTCCACAACAGAAAAGACAAGACTTGTCTTCTGCATGTCTTCTAATACTCAGGTTGTCCCTAGTAAGAACTTTGTTTTTGGAAAGTAACCATGGGAAAAACTGAACTCTAGGGGGACCTTCAGCCCCCAAACAGCAGGTACATGCACGGGCATAATTCCTCTAAAATTAATAACTCTATATAAAGATTGAGAAGAATAAAGACCATCTCTACTAAATTGCCAAATCAGGCAGTCCTCTGTTGGCCCACTGGATCTCTAGCACGGGTGAGCCGACCACTCACCAGCGTTGCCGAGCACACCCTATGGCTAGAGATATAAGAAGGGAGGGAGAACAGAGCGCACACACACAGCACAAACACCAGCGTTGGCTGGAGCTCTGCAGAGGAGATGGCAAAACTGAACTCGTTCTCTTTACTGAGTTGCAGTGGCAAACTATATATACAACTCTACCCATCTAATCCTAGTACACAGACATGTCAGACTGCCATGCTGCTACAGTGACTAGATGTGACAGCAGGGCTGACTTTGGCGTCTGCCCCTGCTGTAGCTACAGTGCGGCAGGGGAGCCTTGCAGCGCCTACCCCTGCAGCGGCTACAGTACAGCAGCAAGGAGCCCTTTCGGCGCCGCCTGTCCCTGCCGCGCGTTCACATAAGGAGAGCAGAAGATTACTTAACAATTCTTCCCCTAATCCTACTGCTAACCCTTGAACCTCCTCCATGCCAATCATCTTCTTCAGCTCCGTGAACCGAAGACGGCAGAGCGGCTTAGTGAGGACGTCCGCGAGTTACCGACCAGTTTC